TGATCATCTTAATATGTCTGACCTCTAATGTTCAGTTTACTTTTAAAATGATGACTAAAACTAAATTTTGCATCTATGTCACCTTTTAGATCTTGCATATTCGAAATGTCAAGATATTCATACTCGTACTGTAAACTTGAGTGCGTTCAACTTATAACGTTGTAGACATAAATAACGCCATAAAAGCAACATTTTAGCAATACGAGGGGTGATCAAAAAGTTCGCGAACTATCTCTGTATCTACAAAACCACAATTCAGATTGGAATGAAATTCGGTACACACATAGCCATACATAAGGTCTATAAATAGCATATGCTGAATAAAGTTTTTCTCCTTGTTTGTGACGTCACAATGCGAAAATGTCGTCACTATATAGGTCACAGTGTGACGAAAAATGGTTGTCTCAGTCGAATTCGTTCAACAAACGACTGTACAATTTATTGTATATCTTAGAAATCCCTCTACAGTATCATATAATAATTTAATTTTGTTTTTATTCTCGCCTCTCATTGGTTGATTTCCAAAAAGGAACGCAAATTATTTTGTATATTCTGGTTTGGTATGGGGACACACCCCCTTGACGACCAGCTTAATCATCTTATCCATGCAATCCCCTCATTTCCAGTCCTCGGAATCCATGGAAAATTCCAGATTTAATAAATGTACCTTTAACTTCAAACATTTACTCGATCTTATCTCATGTAAACAAACATCATGGGTGCTAGATCTGTAACGTGTGTCCAGCCGAGCGGTCTCTGTATTCAAGTGGACACGTACCCGGTTACACCCGGGATTTCTGCAGTGCAATAATTAAGACAAATGATTTGTATCTTGTCCACTAGGCCCCAAACTTAATTAATATATTTACAATGATTATTCTAACAATTTACTTAATCAATATATTTACGACGATTTGCATAACAGAGTCAAGGGACAATTTGCCTCCGGACCACTTGTCTCACCCCTAACCAATGTTCCCGGACAACTGGCCCAACCAAGGGTCCAGGTTACTAAACCAAAGGTCTCTAGTCAACTGGCGTCTCCAGTTCACTTTGGCACTAGGGTAGAGACTTATTCAGCCCTTGTTTCTAATGCCAAAGCTACTGAGGTCGACCAGTTGAAGCAACCTATAACAATAAGGCTTATTCAGCCCTATAGTAACCTTACTGTGATTCGGCTTATTCAGCGTCGTCACTTATCCTATCACCCTTACCTGACCACTTCTTAAATAGATCTGCAGCAGCGAACTTCTCCTGAACGGATTCTCAGATAGAATGACTGCATCTGCCAATACCCGCTATATATACAACGTAGGACCGGTCTATTTCATGGTAGGGGAGACAGGTTATTCCATGTCAAAAACCCTAACATCCCTTGTAACAATGATTGGAATAACCCTGATTCATTACATCACCCACCCCTTTAAGTCATACGTCCCGTATGAAAACAACAACAAGGCAAGGGTAACAAATATTTATGTAGTTTTTCTATAAATGCACAGAATGTCTTTCTGAATGTCAACAATAATCGAACTTTAAAGTAATTTCTTCTTTTCAATCTTCTTAATCTGCTTTCCATCTTCAACCCACTTGGTGATTACTTTAATACTCTCTGTGAAGTACACTGGCTCAGTTTGAGACTCTTTGTGTTCATGTTGTTGTTTTTCTGGATCAGAAGGTGTGGCCTCTGTAATGGGGTTAACTTTTGCTGGTGTAAAGTCTGGTTGGTTTACGATAGAGTCTACCTTCTTCTCTCCTGGAGTCATCACTACACAGAAGTTCCTTCTCTTCCTTATCTGCGCCTGTTTCATCTGCACTCTCACTTTCACTTATATCCTCCGGGAACACCCCTCGAAGATCTCCATGATCTTGGCCGACCCAAGATTCACTTTCTGACAACACCTCCCCGGAACTTTCCTTTTGGACTACATCTTGCTTGCCGCCTCTTTCTTCCCCAATGTCATGTTTCCTTTTGAGATGCCTTCTCAAGTTTTTGGACGTTGTGGAATTGAAATCACAATAATTGCAAAACAGCAGGTCCTTGCTACATTCCCCGATGTGCTTGGACAATTCCTCCTCTCTCATAAAACGATATGGACAGAAAAGGACACTTTCTTCCCTTATTTACGGTTACCTTTGTCTTTGGCATTGTAATCTACGAAAAACGAAATAAAAACAATATTAAACTATCTGTTCACAAATAGAAAACTTGATATTACGATACATATTTGTTTTTCTGATACATTAGTTAATCTCTGACATAGTCTGACATCCATTTTGGTGGACGTCGTTTCCTTTTTGTGAGATCTGGCGACCAAATATAATTTTGATCGTCTGATTCTATATTGGTTTCTGACCATGTTTTCTCCACTTGGTCACTTGTATTCCCTAAGTCGTTTCTTTGATCAGAGATCTTATTATCATTTTCTAGACTTCTCTGATCATCTAACTCAACAACTTTACTAGGACTTGATTCTCCCCTCAGTAACTGAGGGTGCTGTTTTGTTATCCTGTCTACGTGGACGACTTGCTCTCGACCTTTTTGTCCACAATTAATCTTGTCTCTGTCTATGGCAATTCTCCTAGAATATCCGTGGTCACTCTCTCCATAGCAATCTCAGATTCAACTCTCTTTATGGGAGCTTTCTTTGTAACATTCGGACTTTTTCTCTTGGAACATTTTTCACATTCTGCAACATACGCTCTTATGTCCTTTCGGCAACCAGGCCAATAGTACTTACTTTGCACTCTTTCAAGTGTCTTCTTGTGACCTAAGTGTCCTGCCCCTTTGAAGTCATGGCAGAAATATAGTACCTTCCATCTCTCGCGCCATGGTATTATAGCTTGAAAGATAGGACTTCCTTTTCCAATCCACTTTCTGCACAGTACTTCATCTTGAATCAGTAACAAGTCCCATTGCCCTAAAATATCTCGAACATAAATACTTTTTCCTGCTAGTTCTTCGGATTTTGGTTTTGTCCCATTCTTTAACCATTTGACAATCAATGCAACATCTGCATCGTTTTCTTGAATACTTTTAAGGGACAAATCATCTGACATTTGGGCATCATCCTCATTGTTCTTAATTGCATGTAGAGACCTTGATTACTATTCTTGATCCCATGCAGTAAAGAAACCACATTGCTTGCAGGGTATCCTACTGAGGGCATCAGCATTTTGATGTTGTGCTCCTGGATGGTGTTCAATCAACATATCATATGTACTTAATTCTTCTAGCCATCTGGCTAGTTGGCCCTCTGGGTTCTTGAATCTCAATAACCACTTTAGGGAGCTATGGTCTGTTCTGATACGAAATTTTCGTCCCTCAAGGAAATGTCTGAAAACTTTTACAAAGTGAACAACTGCAAGGAGCTCCTTCCTAGTGACGCAGTAGCTTCTTTCATTCTTGGACAAGGTACGGCTAGCGTAAGCAATGACTTTCTCATGACCCTCTTGTTCCTGAGAAAGTTTAGCCCCAATAGCATCTCTGCTGGCATCCGTGTCTAGGATAAACTCTTTAGTGAAGTCAGGGTGTCCTAACACTGGGGTAGTTATAAGCTTTTGTTTCAACAGGTCAAAAGCAATCTGGCAATCATCGTTCCAGACAAATGGTCTCCCTTTTTCAGTCAACTTATGTAGGCACTTTGCAATCGTTGCAAAGTCCTTTATAAACTTTCTATAATACCCACATAAACCAAGGAAGGACCTCACTTCCGTTGCACTTGTTAGTACAGGCCAGTTCTTCACACTTTCTATCTTTTCCGGATCTGTCAAATACTTTTTCTAAATTGGTCATCATTTCATTGAAGGTTTTACCCATGATGATAATATCATCAAGGTAAACCAGACAAGCCTCCCATTGTAATCCTGCCAATACCATTTCCATTAATCTTTGGAAAGTGGCTGGTGCACAACAAAGTCCGAAAGGCATCACCCGGAACTGAAACAAACCCTTACGTGTAGCGAAAGCCGTTTTATGCTTTCTTTTTGATCAAGTTCCACCTGCCAATACCCGGAAACATATCCAGAGTGGAAAACCAGCTGTATCCGGACAGTTGTTCTAAGGATTCATCAATCCTGGGAAGGGGATAGGCATCTTTGACTGTACAAGCATTAAGACGTCTGTAGTCTACTCAGAACCGGAAAGTATTATCCTTCTTTTTCACTAGTACGATCGGGGAAGCCCATGGACTTGTCGAAGGTTCTATAATATTGCACTCTAACATCTCATCAATATTCCTTTCAATTTCTTTTGACAAGTGTGCAGGAGAACGGCGAACGGGTTGTTTTATAGGTCTCGCATCTCCAGTGTCTATCCTGTGTTTGACAATATTGGTTTTGCCAAGATCACTGTTACTTTTTGCAAACAGCGATTTGTACTTCCAGAGAAAAGATTTCACTTCTTTAGCTTGTTTCTTTGTAAGATGCTTTACAGATTCTTGATACAGATTTTCTATATCGGGCCGCTCTGCTGGTTCACCGGCATAGTTTGAGGTCACCTGTTCCGTTTCTTGAAATGTTCCAATCTCTGTGTTCTTGTACACTACCTTTGGTTCAGACTCCACGTTCAACAATCTCACTGGCACAATATTATTCTTCATTGGTTGAACACAAGTTCTAGCAGTCAAGGGTTTATTAGCATCTTCTTTTTCTTTGGGTTCTACTATACCTTGGGTCTGTAGATGCTCCTTGTCAAAGGTACATATTTTCCCTGGTACATGTATAATAAGTTCACTCCGGGGTGGTATGCTGACCGTTTCTTCTGCTTCAACTCTATAGCATCCAATTTTTCCTTCATACACAAGAGAGATGCTTTCATCCTTAAGTAACAAAAGGTGCCGTTTCGCATCTATTATCATATCAAAATGTCTGATCAAGTCTAATCAGAATACCCTCTACCTGAAGATCAGCTACCAAAGCCACAGTCTTGATAGGATATTTACCAATTGCCATCTCGATATTGACTTTACCTTCCAGCTTTAATTCATCACCATCTGCTGTGTAAACTTTCATTCCAGGTTCTTGGATTTCAAATGATAATCGGTCTTTCACCTTGTCCCATAAAGTTGTTGACAGCATTGTAACCGTAGCCCCTGTGTCTACTAACATTTTTCCCTTTACACCATTTATCAATGCATAAATGAACATTCCAGCTTCGTTTGAACAAGAACCATGTTTGCCAGTCAGCTGTCCATTCAAACCCTTATCAATGTTTTTCCTTTTGGGTTCACTACCCCCTGAAGTCTTCTGGCTATAATGTGTGTCTCTCTTGTTTTTCTCTGCTTAAAATGTCCCTTTTTATGAAAACTATAGCATTCCATCATATCCATACATTTTCTGGATAGAGGTGACTTTCCTTTTAGTGAAGGAAGGCAGATGGTGAAAAATGATACTTGTCATCTTGCCCAGTGAAAGCAAGTTTGAAAAGATATGTGTTTTTTATTAAGCAATTTGCTATCAAAGACCTCCAATTTACACTTTGAAAAATAGTTGAATATTTGAACAATACAATTATTAAATAACTAAGATATCGTTTACTTTATATTTTAAACATATTAGATATGATAAAAAGGAGGCACCCATTTTCTATCCACCTTGAATAAAGGTCTCTTCCGAGACAGAATATTTGCGTTTTAATGGTCTCCATGCCTATCTTTTGAAAGGATATTCTTATCCACCCATTCTGTTGCCGAGAATTTGACCATTTCTGACAAATGAACTGTTCTTGTCATAAAAATTAACTCACATGGAAAGAAATATAAAACTCAGAAAAATCTTTCAACTTTTGTGACAGAGCGCTACGGAGGGGGTCACGTGACCGCCAATATCATGTGATTCGCGCATGCGCAGAACGGTGGTTGATGTGCATTAAAATCGGAGAGGATTAATTTAAAATATAATCAACATTGAAACCAAATATTGTTTCATTTATGGAAGTTATTCAATTAGTTCGCAAACTTTTTGTTCACCCCTCGTATAAAAGCAAACTTTGAAATTATTTAGCAAAAAATCTAGCGAGAAGACATATTCATTTTATCATATCAATAGTTTTGATTTCACCTCATCTTAACATTTTGAAATTCCTGACTAATTCGTCTACGTCTTTAAAAAGTTATCCAACTTTTTAAAAGAAACTATTTTCACAAAATTTGCTTTAAAACGTTAATTTCCCATATATTTCAATATTAAAGCGTAGAAAAAGTACTAAAACTATACCGTGTTTACAGTACTATAGCATTAAAACTAAGTAGGCAAATTTAATAAAAATTGCAGATAATACGCAGTGAATTCTAAGGAACATTATATCAGATTTTCAGGATATGTTTTCTCGCAAGAATTTTTATGCAGTAAACCTGCGACCTACCTTAAATCATGTTTGTGATATAACCCTTGATTTAATGGACTTTCGAGTATTTCTCGGAAAGATGCGAATATTTTGTCATAAAAGTGTACTTTTACTGTTTTTGTAAAACCAAAAAAATGTATATTTTATTGCAAACTTTTAGGATTATCTTTCGAAAAAAAAAAATGGAGCGAAGACCCTCTCGTATTGAAAAATTTTGTTACAGTATGAGAAAATGATCGTTTTTGTTCTTTTTAGTGTGTGTATGCTTTTTTATAGGCAAATATTTTCAGCCTTTGTGAGATTTTTCTAAATTGTACAGATTTAACATTAAGTATACTTTAATATTAGATGAAATATCAAATAGAATTGGATATATATTAAGATTAAATTTTCCACTTCTTATCTGTCGCACTATGGGCACTTCGTCCGCCTTATCCCCCCATCTTCTTGGATTGATTGTATTAATGATAGGAGGGAGATGGTTCAAATTATGTTTGTTTTGTAGTAAGCAGGGGAAGATGTGTCTTTTGTTGGGCAATTTGTTATGAAAGATCGCTATTTACAGCTAGCAAAACAGTTGAATATCTTAACAATTATATTATATATGTAATTAAATATCGTTTACTTTAGACATTAATTATATTAAATATGATTAAAAGAACGCCCCCATGTTGATATTCATATTGAATAATCAACGTTCCTAAGACAGAGGACGGGTTGTGATGGTCACCATGCTCTTTCAGGCATCGATCCTTTCTGATATCGATCCTTATCCAAACATCCTTTTCCTGAGAATTAGCCATTTCTGAGAAATGGATTGTTCTTGTTATAAAAAATCAACTTGCAAGGTAAAAAATGTCAGACTCGGAAAATATTTTAGCATCTATGCTTCGGAGCATGTCACGTGACCGCCCGGACCACACGATTCGTGCATAGGCAGATCTGTGGCAGATATGCATTAAAATTCCAGAGTGCAACTTTGAAAAATAATGAACATTGAAACCCAATTTTATTTGTTTTATGGAAGTTATTCAATTTTTTTGCGAACTTTTTAATCTCCCCTCGTACGCTGATCTAATAATTTTTAAAGGGAGACGGTGGGACAGCTAGAGAAAAAAAAATTTACTGGGAAAAAAACTTTACAAGCAAGACTAAAAGTGATGCCAAACTTGCCAAATTTGAAAATCTTATTTCATATCAGGTGGTAGAAGTATGAGGGGTTCAACTCTTTCAGTCCTAAATTTTATTTATAAAGTACTACGTACATTACCCTTACTTAACTATAGTATAATGAACAGAGTGTAGCGGAGTCAGCTGAGGATTGCCGTTTGAATGTAGCGTAGTGGGATGAGCCGAGGATTGCCGTTTGAATGGAGCGTAGCGGAGTCTGCCGAAGATTGTCCGTTGAGCGTGGCGGAGTCAGTCAAGTATTGTAAATTGAATGGAGCGTAGCGGAGTAAGCCAGGGATTGTTTGAATGGAGTGTAGCGGAGTCAGTCGAGGATTGTTTGAATGAAGTGTAGCGGAGTCAGTCGAGGATTGTTTGAATGGAGTGTAGTGGAGTCAGTCGAAGTTTGAATGGAGTGTGGCGGGGTCAGTCGAAGTTGTTTGAATGAAGTGTAGCGGT